CAACTATCTCACAGCGAAAAAAGTCACATCGCATGTCTACTACTCTACCTAGTCTGTGCTGCAGAGTAAGTATTATATGAAGCCGTTCAGAATGGCGTCTTCAAATCTGAGAGTTTTAGGTGGTCAAACATGATTCGAAAAAGAGCCACTTAATACACTCATATAAGTATTAGTGCTTTCTTTTGAACCTATGAAACTGTCGACAGATATTTTCGATAAACATTGAATGAAACATTACATACATATCATTGAATGAGTCACAATGAAACACAAGGCAATCATGAACTCACTTGTCCTGTTATTTTTTTTTGATTACAGCTTGATTCCACACTGTATTTTTGGTACAATTATGCAATTTTCAGCGTGGATATCGGTAGCCCAAATTTCGCAGGCCGACCATAGGTATCAGGTGTGAGTCGGCAGGGGATCGAACCTCGGACCATGTGCATGGTCGGCGAGAGTCCTAACTGTATATTGAGCAAGATATATTTTGAAAATTAGTATAAGAACCACTTCTAGGTTTCGGGTTTGTGGAATTCCTTCTCCTTCCTTTGACAAAACGTTTCACATATAAGTAACAGTTAAACGAGCTCTGAGTTACGTTCTCCACAAGTAATTATCACTACTTGGCAGATAAACACAGGGACAAGACAGAGCACACTAATTACTAGTCTCCGATCAAATTATCCAATACAGTACAACAGGAGGCCAATCGCGAGCACTATTGTTCACTGGTAACATCTATGACTCCAGTCATAGGTGACGCGGGTTCGAATCTCAGAAAAGACATCAGTTCTTTCGAAATTGCAGATATGCCTTGCTAACAAGTGCCGACTTGCACAAAAATCTAGGTCCAAGGCTTCCTGCTGATTGCCTTTAATCATTTAAAATCATCAAATTAGTGCGCACCGTGATGGTGAGCTACCTAAAATGGTGGCCTCATCGCAAGCTTAACTGGTACAGTTCAGTCTATATGAAAGAAAGAACAGGACATATCACACTGGTTACTAGTGTCCAAACAAGGTATACTCGTGGAATACATGAAGCCACATTCAGGCGTGATTAGAAAAGATTGAACCTAAATATGAGATAAATAATGATGAATTCTCTGGAGATCGTAGACTGCACTTTTTAATTAATCAATTGATAGTAGTTTATTGAGAACATCTAAACTTGTGAACATTCACGTTATTGCTTACCACATCTGTCTCATTTCTTGATTTGTAATCATAAGTGTGTGGTTATTAATCAGCATTTAAAAAGTGTTAGATGCTGCTATTCACTTTCTACTGAAATTCAAACGTTAGAAAATATAGACATCAAGAGATGCGCCAAACAGATTCCTCAAAACAATGATTTAAAGAAGAGGTAGCTAGAATCATGGGAACAAGTGGACATAATTTTCAAAAGAACTAAGAAAGGTGTTCATCTCTCCATGATATTATAGGGAGATGAGATACAAACGTTTTTTGGATTGTTCACTTTTAACGTAGTTAAATGAAGTTTTCAGAAGACCTACTGTAATCACATATCACAATATCTACCGCCACAGGAACTATACCAGCAGCCAGTGTTCATTTACTCGATATATTTTAGGGGAGTCAGTTATGTATTAGGCGTGTATTAGGAGTGTATAACGCAGTAGTATACGCAGAAGTCTACAGATTCTGATTAAAGTAGTCTGAAAAATCCTGATGTGGAATATTGCCTCTACTCAGAGAGTCATATGCTACTCTGATATATAGTATACGCAAAGATTTTCTTCTGATATGGATTTGCACTCATTGAATCAATACATGCACAAACCAAGTCGAACTGATTTCAGTTAAACATATTAAGTGAAACCTCCGTCATAGGTAGAATAGCAATATGAAAATTATTAATGCTTTCACTAGCAAGTGATGCGTAGTAGGTATCACACTACTGGAAATATATTCACACGCCACAAAAATGTACTAAACTGAGTGACAGTCACAACAGGGTAGCACTTGATATACATTTCCTGCTGCTTTTGAAGCAGAGATGTATCTGCGTACAACTTTTAAAGACGCGATGGAAAGAATTTTGTTACAAATGCAGCTATTAATAAGGGTTTATACACCTGTGCATATGTAATAATGTTGTAAACAGGAATTCGGTTCCATAGGAATAGGACACTACTAAACTGATATTGCCTTATGAGTCCATACGCAGTATGATGCCTGTCTATTGCCAGTAGCATATATTTTACATCAGTGGCAAAAATGCAAATATTTAAAATCATTTATGACAATTTAGTGCCAAATTACTGAACATGTATTGACTGTCATTTAAACATAACCACATATGAGTTATTAATTTCATTGCGTTTTGTTCAAACTTCAGCAGGAAATGTATTGCATATGCTAACTTATGTTCACGGTGACTCCAAGTGATTTATTCACGTCACATCAGAAAACGTAATTAGTAACAGTGCAATACCTACTGCTCATCACTTAAAAGTAAATGCACTAGTAATTTTCACATATTTGTGCAACCAGTTCTACAGCTACCACCCCAAGTGTTTAGTTGAATTCAATCTGAATTAGCATATACATGTGGTTATCCAATGAATGTGAATGCATACTAGGAAAAAATGAGGATGCTTTTGGCATGAATATCAGATATCAGAATGGGATGTGGCACCATAAGTTTAAGGATAGTTGATGGTGCGTTTTATGCACATGAATACTACACCTCATTTCGGAAGAAAAACAGCAGAAGAATAACTTATTCATATATTAGACGACATTGGTAATCTTTGGCATGGTGAGCCATTTCTATGCCATAGATCATTTGTGCATGACACATGCTACTACGTCAGCAAAAATAAACGCTTGCTGAATAATTCTATATATTCACAGTCCACGGCAACATTTATGAACTATTCCATAGATGACTATGTTTTTGCTGCGTGACACAGAATTATGATAATAAATGCGAACCCTTATATTGCATTTAATACTACTTTTATTGTTTTTATATTTGCAGCAGGTCGGGTGTGAGGACAAATACTCGCCGGATACATTGGCTAGCGGTCGCGCTATATCGTGAATTGGCGGAAGCTAGAATTCTTGGGCCACTAGATTGGGTCCCAGTGGCTTAATGCTATACAAGCTCGCCATGTAAGGAGGAGGTCCTGGATTCCAACCTCGGTGGGTGCGTACTGATGAAGAGTCCCAACTTAGGACGAAACAGCTTTCCAGTACTCCAATCAATCAAATCCTTGCAAACCAATACTTGAATATTTACATTTTTGTTTTAATTTCCTCACGCATTATAATTTCTGAAAAACAACATATATATGACTATAGAGCTTACTGATGAATTATGTGAAAATAGTCTTTTCGCAAAATATATTTCTTAAATTCAAAGTTTGAAAACAGAAGTGAAGGGATAGACTGTTGAAGTCTTCTAACAACTCTCCCTAAATTTGGAAATGCACGTCTAGCATTAATTTCACAGCCACATTTTGGAGAAATTTGAAGCTGTTTAAGATAGAATATTATGTTACGAGATTATCTTTATTAGTCAAATAGACTGGATTCGTTGTTCATTCAATACATCATGTTCACATCAGTCAAAACTGATTAGTGTTCACAAAAGCCAATGCATGACTGTGAATTCATAGCAAGACTAAATTGGAGCTTGATGTTATTCTCTATTACAACCACCACTTCGATGCGCTTCTATAGCACTGTCTACTTTTCAACAATGAAATTTCCCGTGATCATAATGTCAGTCAGACTGCATTGTCCTTCGTTTTGTTTTCTAATTTTTAATGCGATTAAGCAGCTCCACATCCCTTAATCTTTGCTGGAACTTTTTTCTCTATGTGTCTCTCGACCTAACACTCAAATCGCCTTTTCGCTTCTTGTTGTCACTCGGTGGCTTCATGGCCAATGTCTTACAAACGTGTGTTTTCTATCTGTCTTATCCATCTGTATTTTCTTCGACGTGATTTTTAAACAATAGGTTCTTGATTGTTTGGTCGCCTATTAGAATTTATTTTTTCCAGTCTCATCTGGTCAGCCATCTGGTTTTTGATGTTGAGTGTGCGAAAGCAGATGTTGATAAAAGACTAAAATAGCCAGATGGAAATGCTCACATAATCCCCACATAGTATTTGAACCATGAAGAACTGATTCGACATTCTTGTGGCAAATACAAATCATGTTGTTTGTACTCAGTGAAGTTGTCTTCTTTTAGAATAATGAGCGTGTATCCCGCCCTTCCTATTTTCCCTTTGAAATACTCATATCCGACGCCCATAATTGAATTGATCCTCTAGATATCTTCATCAACTGTGCCTTGTGTGCGTTTATTATCCGATGCATCTTCTGACAACTCTTTAGTTTTCGTCTGAAAGCCTTCAAGTTTGCCCAACATTAGATACAAGTTGTTCACGAAGTGTAAAACTTCCACAGTCATTTTTCGGCCTAATGTATCACTGTTATTTTATTTCCTTACGTGTACCTTATGATTTATTCAGTCTTAATCACGACAATCACTGATGATACGTGGAACTGTTGTCTAGTTGCCGACTTTAATTCAGAGACATTGCTGAGTTTTTCGCTGTGAATTGCTTGAAATTTGACAACATCTCTTAACGTTTTACTAAACATGCGTAGACGTATGACTGCGCAGCAGCTTTTGTTATTGCTTAAGTGTGTTTTCTTTGCTAGTTAATAAACTAGCTACTTGACATTCAGGAACACAGGCGTGAAGATATCAGTGGAGGAGTTCTATTCGTCATATGTAAAATAGCCATAGATACTCAGTTTCAACAGAATAGACATTTTTAAACTAGATAGAACTACTCCAAATTAAGTAAAGTTTATTTTTATCAATCAACACAAATTAGTGAAAGCGTGGGTCATACTGAGTTTATCATAATTATGCATGTACACGTGACATTATTCGCTTAAATCTATTGCGAATTCAAATATCCCTCCATCATTCTTTGTAACTACAACAAATATCATAAGTATGTGTTTTTGCAGTAGAAATATATTTAAATGCTGCAAACATCATTCACATCCATTAGGATATGTCACAATATGTACAAAGTACTTCTGCTCATTCTGCTTTTTCAAAAGAATTCAACGGCGAACCCTGGTAAGCGATTTGTAATATTTTTTGCTTCATTGTAATATGCCATCGTAACTAACAAATGAAATTTTGTTTAATTCACTTATGGGATATGAAACTGTTTTTTAGACTAAGTGCCAATCGTTCTTCACTCGGTAATAATTATGAGTACAAAGATAATTTTGTTGAGGTAGTGAGAAAATCACGATTGTAATTCGACTTTCGGAGAGTGCAATGGAAACCTTGATAAAGTCAATATTACCAGAAAACATTTACAAAATGTTTTTAACAATGCGATTTACATGCTTCAAATGAGCCACAATCGAAATGTTTGTGCACTCATCATGAACTTTTCTCGAATGATAAATAAAATTTGTAGACAAACAGCTAATTCAGGTGACTGCACAGATGCAGTTGAATTCATGGATAAGTGAAAAGTGTCTTACGTAGTTCATTTGTCACTGGTAGTCGTATTGAAATAATTACTTGCGATCTATGAGAAGTCGTAGTACTTTGAATCAGTTTGCTTATATACGCAATATTCCTTATTATATACATTAATCTGTATTGACATAAAGAGTGATCACAGATACACTGGCACTCCTGTCGATGAGGACACCTCACATACCTTCATTTACCAGTGTTCCCGAAACCGTGTGTGATTTATAGGATTACTTAGTAATTTCGCGTTTTTGTTTATTAGGATACAATCACAAACTGTTCGCGCATTTTACATTTCGATAACAACAAACATTTGGCTCGCGGTTGATTAGTTCTGTTTCTCGAAAAGAAAACTGGAATTAGGTACTCAGTATGACTGTAAATATTTGAACCTATTGCTTGTGTAAATTTGTCAGTTAACCTGGAAATCATGAAGTCTTCGTCGTCAAGTATAACATTTTCCCATTGCACACTACTATATTTTCAACATGCCTGACGATTTACAACACGTTTTGAATATTAACCGAATCTCAAACCTTTTAGTTGACTTACTCTGCATTTGTTTTTCAATCAGTACTTAATCTTTGGAGCCGACATTGGTGTTAAGACAACCGCATATTTTCTAATATATTTCTTCTTCACCGAAAAATAAAGATTTCGCGGGATTAATGATGACTTTACTTTATTGCCCGATAGGATATTAACTACGCCATGTAAATCGTATGAGGAAGGTTTTCGTAGTTAAACGTAAGCAATTCGTACTACACCCCACATTATGTTGAATGATCCAGTCAACTCAAATCAGGAATACTGTCAGTTGTAACGAATAGCCTTGTCTATCCATTGTTTTCATTTCGTCAAGTTTCCCATAGTGAATTCCTGCACATATGGAAACATCATGTAGCTGTTGAATAAAGTGGTATTGTGCATTCCCTAGCTCTCTTCTTCAATCATTTGTTCAACGCACTACATACAAGAATCAACTTCTTTTTTCTGTTCATCTTCGCACCAACACATCTTCCGTTTCACCATCACTCTTGCTTCTATTATATGCCATGTATCTGTAGTCTTTCATTCCCTAGCTTGCCTCTTTTCCTTACCTAAGATGGCTATACACATTTTCTTCCACATCGATTTCATGAAGTTTCAGTTTTCCTCCACACAGGTTTCCTTGTTGATGCTGCATAATGTAGAAGCGTAGCGTTGATTATAACTTTCCCACCATACAAATTGAATATTGTTGTCACCATAAAGGATGAAAGTGATTCCTACAAGATAAGGGTTGGTGACATCATTACGGCTACAATTTCAGAGTGTGCGTGGTCGCTTGGTCAGGCTTCTTCGACTTCCTTACCACAGTGTAAACGTTGGTTGCGTAGCTCAGCGCCAAAGGAACTGTTAAGATGAACGGTGTCGAGTATAGATTTAAAGAATAAACTTGAGAATTATGGTGGAGCATTATTCAGTTATGGATAAAATTTATTTTGATGAAGTTACACAGTAATATTTGCAATTGATATTACAGCATAACGCTGTGTGATTTTATCAAAATAAACATGGACAGTCATGTTGCCACACAATTTATTTTCTGCAGATATATTACGCTATGAATAAATAGAACGATGGCGTATCACTTCTTAAAATATGGTGCCCAATATACACAAGCATTATATGAACATCAACGGAATAAAAATGATGTCCCTCCACGTGACGTGCAATGAATCCGCTTTGTTTTATTTCAAAGTCTGATATGAAACAGTAGTAATAGTAATTTTATAATTCCTGGACATACCACAGACACAAACGAGGCAGTGTTCACCAACTTTTAAGTGTTTGCTTGATTCAGATGAAATTCTCTGCAATGCTTTTCACTTACTTTCCTAAAACATTTCGTCGAGGCATACTACTGAATATACCAGTTTACTGACTTTGGGTGCCAGCATCAGCAATTAAAGTCTACAAACCTCAATTCTTACCATCAGTACATGAATACTCAATGTAGGCAGTGAAAACCTATAACGAAAGAAGATGAAATCCAACAAGACCAACTGATAAATAGCCAAGATTTAATAGTGATCTGTCCAAGTGAAGGATCGAGGATAGTTAATTTTCTATATCTAACGACTAAAATATTAAATTTTGTAACACTCTCTGTGATGACGATGGTTGCATAAAATCAGCTAACCAGAAAGACAGAGACATGAGTAATGAGAGGAAAATATCCAAATCCCTAATGGGATTGAAAAATCAGTTCACTAATTTCACCTGCATCTATGAATATTGTACAGCGTTCATTTTTAAGCATTCCTTGTTCATAAGCTTTTGTAGTACACGCGGAGATTGTGAACCTATGCGATCTTTATTAGATATGCGGAACTCACCTTACCACTAGATGGTGAAACGTCTTGCTGAAATCCGTGAGCCAGTGTCATATAGTCTGCATAGCCATAGTACTCTGAATGACGTGGACGTCGTCATTTACACTGGTGGAAGCGTATGACTTTGTTGCATGATTGTTTACTTTCCACAACAGTAGCGTAGATAGAAGGGAGCAATAAATTCGAAAAGGGAAAAATTACCAGAGGGTATTCATAATTCCATCCACACAGCCATTATATTTAATGCATCGTTCAGACCACACTTCCTCACTAAGGAGTTGGCTTATTTTTTCAAATTTTCCAACAAAGCATAATTTCATATATATTGGTTTACTAGATTTGAACAGTTTGTTATACATATGCAGATATTCACATTGGTTGAGAATAAAGAAGATGAAAATAGGACTTGAGAGTTCGACTGCCACTGTCAGTTTTGATTTCATTATTTCCGTATCCCCCTAACTTCGCTCTCAACATTTCCTTATATTACTACACAATTAGTTCATCTCAAAGCCATCAGTTGTACCGTTGTGTACAACCAACATTCCCGTATTTAGTAATACAACTATCTACATGTCTAATACGTCATCTTATTTGGTAAGCCTCTGCTTCACTTATGTGGATGTAATTACAGTAGTAACGATATTTTTTAGCACAGGGGTATGATTTTGATTTGGTTGTCATTACTACTTCTATTTTGATGGCTACTAACAACTACACTGAGGACTCTTTTATCTTGTTCATGGTGAGATGTGAAACAAGTCCCCAGTCCGGCTATTTAGATGTTTGAAGTGAATCTCAGTGTCTATACGACTGAAAACTGATTCATTTCGCAGAAATCTTAAGCCTCTATTTCTACTTAATGTCACCCAAAACTGCTAAACTTTGAAGGTGATTATGAGTCTATAGGGTAATCATTGACTGGCACTCTAGTACTCTGTCCTTTTAATTTTGCGTTCTTGATGAAGCTTCTAAAATCTGAAGTCGAACACCATATCTTATGATTGACGTTAATTAATCTAGTAGGTTATTAATTTCATCGAAGTGTGTACGTCAAATAACTTCAAAATGAAGAAATATATTTTAACCTATTTAGTCTCATCACCTGATCTTCATTCGAATAGATTTAAGAAATAAATTTGGTTTACTTTATGGCGTTTTTGTGTAGAATGTTTACTGGTGCTCTGCATTCTCTAGTTATTGTTCTATGAGACGAAATAAAAGTGGTTTCGATATGAAGTGAAATTTAACTAATTGTGGTGTGACTACCTTCTGATTGTCGATTGCTTTATTATGTATACCAATAAGATGCTCACTGGCGACTGGCCCTATTCAGGTAGGTAGTTACCTGGGTTCCAGTGGGAAGTCGTGACCAGTAGGGTGCAGCTGGTCGGGTGTGAGGACAAATACTCGCCGAAGACATTGGCTAGCGTTCGCGCTATGTCGTGAATTGGCAGAAGTTAGAATTCAAGGACCATTGGATCGGGTCCCAGTGGCTTATTGGTATAGGAGCTCGCCTTGTGACCGGAAGGTCCTGGGTTCGAATCCCGGCGGGTGCGTACTGATGAAGTGTCCAAACTAGGACGAAACAGCTGTCCAGTACTCTCAGGTTTTCCAATGGTTCTCTAACTACTGTCAGCTCATGATGAAATCCTGAAACCAATCAAATCCCTACAAACCAACACTTGAATATGTATACATTAGTTTAAATTGTAATGTTGCATTAATCTTTCAATAATTTCAGATAGATGTCAAGTCAAGAAACGTGAATGTTATGATCCTGCTTCCCGTTTTTACTACGATCCAATGCAGAACAAATGTGTGAGATATCTTTTAAGGGAGTGTGCCGACAATTTGAATTCTTTCCACAGTAGAAGTTTATGCAAACAGCAGTGTGTAAAGTAGGTTTATTATGATCTATCTGTAATACTGAGGTATTAACTTCACTCTATAAATACTAATTCACATTGTATTTCTTTAATGTATATACTACTTATACTTAAGATTCTCTACAAGCACTAAGCAAAATCGATTGCAAAACACTTTTTAACTAATGGCGTTTAACAGACGCTTAAATAAATCGTGAGTAATTCAGACAAATGTCTGGTTTCTACAATCCTGATGATTAGCACGTATAGACTGAACCAGTGAATCACTTTATAAGCCTCATGTTGATTAACATAATCTCAAACAACTACACACAAAATGGAATCCGTGATCATATGTGTAAGACTTTGGCACTGTGGTAGTATGTATTTCCATATAATTTCCATATTGTTTATATATATATATATATATATATATATATTAGATATATCATACAATAAAACAGCAGAAGTATTTACTGGATGACGTTTCGAACACAATTTATTGTTCATAATCATAACAGTTAGCAAATAAATTTGAACTCACGTATCGAAGTCGTTTGATTATAACTGATATAATCATGAACACTTCAAACTCATGTTTGCGCTGAAAATACTGTCTAGTTGAGCAACGACAGCTTCTAAAATAAACCATCCAGCTCACGGAACACAACTACATCAAAAGCGAATAGTACTGTTTCACTGTATAATATATCTAATAAACAAAATAACATGGACCAGAGTCATAAGGCTTGCATACTACGTCATGGTTTTTCGGATTTTAATGGCTAAAACTATCCGCCGCGACACTAACACTGAAGCGACATACGTGCAAAGTCTAAGAATAGCTTAGATATATGTCTTCTACATCTGCATCACAGAGTCTTGAACATAAAAATGTAGGGTTATCAGAATCAAACATAACAAATAACATGGACACAGTGTTGTTTGCGTAGTTACGATAAAACCAGTGGAATAATTGCTGTACTCGAGCTTTAAAAGTTAACCGAGTATTGAACACACATGAAGTTACCAAGACAGTCATGCTTATTATATACCTTTGTTTTGACTGATTGAAATGATATTTTCTCAAATAGTCTGGTTAACTGCGATTTGTTGAACTGTATCCTGAAACATAACTTCGGATATATCAGTTCCCTAGTAATGAGAACCACAGTTATCAAATCTATCCATAAACACAAACACTGAGAATGAAACAAGCTGAATTAGATCCAGTTTCCTGGAATCTCTATCGTCTAACTGTAGCCGACGGGAACAAAATTCAACAAGTACTAGATGAAAGACAAAAAGCGTTATCCTTGGAATGTACAGTTATTTACATAGGGAAAAACTGAAGTAGATGATGAAATGAAACACCTCTTTGATTAACGAAAACCTCATGGTTTTGAATGATTTGAATTCAGGATATCACAGCTTATTTTCATTTAATGGAGATGAATCTCCAGTGGGACTTTCATTTAGTAATCCCAAATAATCCACTTTGTAATTTATTTGGATAATGTTTGCTACTGCAAAATAGCGTTGATTTTATTAATTTGTTAATTTCATTTGATTAATAGACAAAAAGTAAAACGAAATACAATACAAATGTGTCAGAGTTATTTCAATAAGAGACGAAAAATACAACGAAAATCAATAGAAACCATTTACAGAATATTCATTTCTAAACGAATAAATTTTACAACTATTTAACTAGGATTCTGAAACCAACTACAAGCAGTAAGTAATATAATGAGTAAAAATAAAAATATAAAGATAAAAACTAAACAGAACAACAAAGACGCGGAAAATATTCGTATATCAAGGATATACAAAAGAGCAAATACTTAAAATAATAAGAAAAATAGGACATATAGACAGTAAAAAATATTAATTCAAAAACTACAACGCAAAATTGGTGACAGAAAAAGAGAAATATATTCCACTTATTAAACTAAGATATCATGAAGCAGCAAGCACTTCCAGGAAATGATGCTTAAGGAAATATTACGAAATCCCCTAGGGTGACCACGGGTTGAGACGATTTATTTTGTGAAATGGATTCGACAAGTTCGTGTGCACTATCTGTCAGTTCAATATGCAATGCATTATTAATCGAACTCCCCTCTCAACAACTTCAACAGAGGCTGAAACAAAGTGGTCGATAATTTTCATGCCAATAAGTTTCAAGTCAGTTTATCAACTGTGATCATATTTACTATGTAAGGTGTATACAAGTGAATTAAATGTAAAATGAAGCATTTTCTCCATTTATGAATTTCTACTGTTGCTGACTATTGATATGCATATGATTGCTTATTGAGCCACGAGAAATCCTCAACCCATTATTGTTATTCCCTTGGGTTCCTAGGGGAACATAGGGCTTCCCCTGCACGTCTACAATTTACAGTCTATTCTGCTGTGCTCTTCTCCTCCATGCATGTTAGTCCTTACTGTCTCAACTCCACTTCACACGATCTCCTCCATGTCAACGTTGGACGTCTCACTCGGCGCATCTCATCCGGGTTCCACTCGAGCAATGGCCTGACGCGTGATGTCACCCAGCGGCCTCCTCAGCAAGTGTCCAATCCATCTCCACTTTCCCATCCGTATTTTTGGGCGATTGGTTCTTGTTTTGTTTCTTCCCATAGTTTCTTCTTGGTGATTCTTTCCGGCCCGGCCGTCTGATCTTCAGTATAGAGCGAAGACAGTTGTTGATAAGGGTCTGATACAGGCTGTTGGAAATATTCTTTGTGACCCGCCAAGTTTCTGATCCGTATAGAAGAAGTGACTTGACGCTTGTATTGAAAATCCGACTGAATTTTGTTGTTGATGCTGAGTGACGACGATTTTCAGATTGGTTTCTGGTTGATAAATGTGTTTCCCGCATTCCCGATTGTCGCTCGATTTGACATCCTCGTCCGTTCCTCCTCTAGTTGGGACAATCCTCCCTAGATAAGTGGAGTAAAATGAAGTAACCTCTTTCAAATTCTTCCCTTTAGTGGTGATTGGCGCTGGATGTTGTTGTTGGCTGGTTATTTTCATAACCTCCGTCTTGTCTATGTTCACCTGGAGTCCTGTCTTTGCTGCTTCTTTGGCTAGTTTGTCGGTTTTCGCTTGTTAGTCTTCGATTTCGTGTGACATCAGACATAAATCATGTTTGAAAATATACTCATAAATTCGGTTTCTCTCGACTGTTTTTCACTAATTTACTAAGTTTGCTTTCTTCAGCATGCATGATTTACTTTTATATTTTGAAATTTTCTACTATTTAGCCACTCCTAATGGTGAGTACATAATGTGAATGATTTGTATCCTTTTTTACTAACTTTGGTGTCGTTTGGATATCGTTTTTTGTTTTTGGAGATTATCTGTAATTTATTGGTTGTAAGCTTGGAATCATTTTGACGTTTCCTATCTTTGAGAACTCCTGAATCTGTGACCGTGGACGTTTCTAACATTTGAGTTCCATGTCCGCTTCCTGGCATGTCCTGATGTTTGCCAGGTGTCACATGAAACCATCTTAATATTTGTGTACTTCTTTCATTTAAACTCATTTTTTCATGGAAGCTAATACCTTATCAGTCTGTATAAATCCGACATAAATTTGATTCTTGTGTTTCACTTTCTATCAAAACATTCATATTCAGCATCAAGATGATACGTGTTTGTTTCTCCTTTTTTGACAGGCAATGAAACTCAACTACCGAATACCACTAGTGGTGAGTTCCTGTTACCGCATATTTCATTTCCAACTAGTAATATTTGCACATCTAGTTCATCTCGATTTGTAATGCTGCTCTTATTGGTATAGTACTTCCATGGAAATGTTAATCGAATTGAATGAATTCAACAATGCTGAACACATTATTATCTCATCTTTGTATCGTCCACTGATTAGGTATTTATTTAAGTAAGTTCATATAGTCGCAATTTAGGAGGAATTACAAAATTTGGCTTTACGCACAATTATCCTTTTTTCTCTCTGGTGTAAATATGATATGAACAAGCAATGACCTCTTCAATTGTTTCATAATATATCATTAGTTCTGAGTATGTGATGAAATGGACACCTAGGAGTATCGAGAGATACTTGTATTTTACTGCAAAGAGCGACTTCAGAATGGATTTTATTTTAGGTGTCACTTTGACTTCAAAAAATATTTGTATTTTTCACTGTACAAGTTCCAAGTTTTGTTTTTTCATCACGGTTGGTAGGAATTTAAGTATACGTTGCTGGCAAAATATAAATAATTATCTTGAAGAGCTATTCATCTTCTTCACTTAGGTTTCTTCGACGTGAGTTTGTATATTCTGCATTTCGATCGACATTATCGTCAATTTTCTGCCTAATACACGCCATCCGATCCGAGTTGTGGATAAAGCTGATAAGGTAATATACAGATGACAAAGTGGTTGATCGCTGTCAGTTTACAGGTTTCGTGTGTATACATTAATTAGTATGCGATATCTGATTACTACGTAGCAATATGTGATGATGTTGCTAAACTGTTATAGCAGGAAGCTTTACAACATTAGTGCCTAAAATGTATATAAATAAACATTTCACTGTATTCGCCGAATAATCGCTCAATGAGTACCTAACAGACAGCTAGGAATTTCCACTGCCTACATTTATAATTGACAATGGCCTAATAACACTAAGGTGTGCACTTGATTAGATTTTATTTAGAGGCACTTTCCTATGTTTTAATATTCAAAGAACTTAAAATGGTCAAATTACGGAAGAGTAATAAGATGCAATTAAGAAATTATTTTTTGATTAGATACAAATCATTTCAAGATCTCTGTATTCATATATGTGCATCGGCTTTCGTCTTCAGTTAATATTTATGTGTTTGTACGCAGCCTAATGAAATGTTCAATTTTCAGCTCATCCTGATAATCATTTTGTCTGCTGTTGTCTGCGGCGTGTTCGTCGGGTTGATATATTTACTTTAATTATTTCCTGCTCAACTGAAATTCATGACACTTTCAAACAATCGCTATCAATTATGTAGTATGCACAAATCTTTGCAAATACCTGTTGACTTGTAATGTTAATTCCGTAATTTATTCATAAACTCTTGTTCACTTATAATGAAAATAAGTTAAATTTCATTCAACAACTTCATTTTCATGCATTCAAATTACGAGAAAAACTATTAGGCTGCAACAGAAATATCTGGTAAATATACGTATGATAAGAATAAATGTAACTAGTGGTTGATCCCCGGCTGACGCACTACTTTACCTCGCTAAGACAGAAGTAATGCCGTTAAAGAGGAAAGGTTGGGCATAAGGCTAGCCACCCCATCCTGTGAAACTAAACACTGCTACAGAAACTTCAAGTCACCAGCTTGAAGCCGTATGTTTCACTGGGAACGTGATGGAAAAATTATTATTGGTTGAATTGGAGTAACTGCAAAATTTAGAAAGATTGTTGGATGAGTGAATCAGTATTGAGTTTTACACTAGGTAAGGTGATGTCGAAAATGTGAAATTGTGATAAAGATCATTATAAAAAAGGCTGTGATGAAGAGAAGTGGAATGAGGTTAATGGATAAATTAAAATGAAAACAGACTAATAAAGCAGCGGAAAGCTTTTGGAAAACATGATTAGCCTTTCTTTCATGTATAACTGCATATTTGGTTAAACGTATGAGTGGGTAACTTCAAGTTTATGTGGAGTGAATTGAGCCATGTTGATCAATAAAGAACATCAATCACGAGGACTCAAGGGGTATCAACAATAATTCATAAAACACCTGGCACTATCAATCTACACGTTACTACGTCAATTATAAACAGCAATACAGGTTCACAAAATGAGTATAGATATACACAGAGGCAAACATAAGTGGAATTCATACTCCAGATATTGTCTAATTATATTTTACTAGAGAATACAGTGTGATCATTATTAGAATGAAAAGTGCTTAATACAAATAGACAGTTGACCCGTATGCGCTTCAGTAGCAGAATCAACTCTTGACGCTAAACTGAATTTAGCTTTGATATAAGAATAGAACTTGTGCACTGTAATGGAATATAATTCCATTGTAAATAAAATTTATTTTGGTGAAATCTCACAGTGTTCTACTCCGATATTTACTGATGACAAATTGTGCTAGAAACGTCTTCAGTGAATACTACTATGCAACAATTTAATCCGCTGAGTTAAGCTCTGTAAATGACTTCATTACTGAGTGGGCTGGCTAATGACACTGTTCACCGACAGAAGAGCTAGGCATTTTATTTTTGCCTTTCATAAACTAGTCCGGTAGTTTTCATTTGTATCTTCCGATAGTATAGACTATAGAAAGTTTCTACCAGTGTTAATTGAAGACCATATATATGAAAACACATACATTTAAAATCTATGGAAATCTCCGCCTCCATCAATACAAATCACAAAGTCAAAAGTGTTTGAATCACTATCAACCCACAGAATAGTTCTCACTGGCTCACGAACGTCAGCAAACTATTTTATCATACAATGATAAGTTGAGTTGAGAATATGAAATTCAGGTCACAGAATCGGAGTGTATTAGATGTTCATACACATAAGTAATAATTATGAATTTGCTCTTCAAAAATCTATTTTTTTAACATTCATCTCTCAATTCCCTTGTTTGCATCTTTCTTGTCAGTTGATCATATGCATCCACCATCGTCACAGAGAGTAGGAAATACATTATTACTATATTATCTTCAGGATTTGAGAAAAGCTATCCATCAACGATTCTGCCTCTTGACAGGTAATTATCGTATCTTGGCTATTTATTAGTTGGTTCTTTCATAGGAAAACAAATGACAAGAGGTCCGTTTTATATCACCAGTACTTATGCTACTTCGTCTGGCGAAGATGAATAATGGATTTAAACACCATAACACAGGCCTAACCATACGTTTAGGTTAGCTAAGTAATCAGCTGGATTCATAATAACAATCAAGTAGTGAATTTTTATCTCCGCGAAATGCTGGTGTTAACTTTCGCAACTCTGTAACGTACACATTTTGAAACAGATGGCAGAATAGAGCTCACTACCTCTAACATTTACGCGATATTTGAATTAGGATAGCTAAAGTTTTATTTGTGATCTGAATTACAAAACGTCTTATAATATTTTAAAAATTAAAATAATGTCAACAGTTGGATACTTTCCCACAGACTAGGGACCTGGTTCAGTCTTCCTACACTTCGACTCCACTCTAGTTGTCAGTTGTTTTCAGAACAATGAAATAAGAAATGACATTGAATATTCGCCCAAAAAATCTCAGGTTATCACAAAAAATGGTAAATGATAAACGATTACATTACCCAGTAAACATGCAGTGTTAATCTTCTTTGATAGGAGGAATTAAGCACAAGTGTTGCATTTTATGTGTGTTGACAAATAGATCTTATATTTAGTAAAATACGGAAAATAATGAAATCGAAACTAAATTACCACTAATAGTCATCTCATTCTAGTAAAAAATAATCATCTCGGAAGCCAATGCGTCACTATACCCAGTGTAAAAATCAGATACGTATACTAAAGAATAATTGAGGAGTAGACGAACGTTGGGATTCTAAGGAAGTTGCCAACCGACCCTTTACCGTACTGTGAAAAGTGGATTCGAAGTGGAGTGAAAGTCAAGTAATAGCCTCATGAATGATGATACCTTAATTCTCTAAAAAAAACATGCAACGTGGACATCTGAATTACAAATAGAAGCCGAATCTGCTTGTGAAGACCAGTCCTAGTGTTAAATTGTCTACTTGGGTGTTCATCTCACAAGAGGGATCCGATAATGCGACCAGAAGCAATTAACGAATAAAAAGCACATAAATACAATATACACATTTCCAATTCTTAACCTATTGTGAAATTCAACGAAGAGACGTACCAGTTGCATGACAGTTAAGAAAATTTGGGTAACAGCTGACAGAATGAATATAGTCATGCGAAATTATTCACGACAATTTATATGGCTATGAAATAAGGAAACACGTGTGTCACATCAACCAACAACAAAACAACTATCATTGCAATGCAGTTTAGTGAGGGAAGCAAGGAAATATATTTTGAGAAATTTCAACAACAACAAACCATTACTCAGGATTTCCCCACGCCTTCTTCTGGCACATAATCTGAAATATGAAGTACCTATCGCATTGAACTGTGTATGTATCTGTGGGAGTGCTTATATAAGTTGCTGACCGAAAAGTTTAACTTTTTTAGTGCAGATAACTTCAACAACAGCTGGTTGCTAGGCTACCTGAGTTAAATAAACCGTAAAGCATGAAGTGAACAGTGATTAACCATCAGTTTTCATATATTTGGCAGGTTTGCGAAACATAATAGAGACATTTACACCCAAAATATTAAACTTTCATGAGAATGCAGTACGATATCTCCTAGAAAAACACAAATGCTCATAACTTTTTTGACTACAGTCGTCAATTTTTATTAAATCGAAATATTAAAAGTAACAGAAATATGTCTCTCCCAATGCTCACCGTTCAATCTACCTATCGGCATTGATGCTAAGCTATTGCATTGTCTTTTTTCAAAATGATACCCACATGTGAATCCTTGCTTGTTTTGAACTACTTAATTGTACACGAAATTGGAATCTATGTGCCACTTTTCAAAGACGTTTTCTAAATAACACTTTGTTAATCTTCTCATTCCTCGAATACATAAGTATAGATACCTTGGGTATTGTGTGAATAAACTCTTTGGACATGTTGATGTCGCAATATACATGTTAGCTACACAGTTTGATCCTCACTGATGAATACAGTCATCTCAAGGGACTGTTTTGCAAACTAAGACTTACATCATTCCTAAATAAAATATGGCGAAAGTTTTTCTTAACCATAACACATATGCCTGAGAAGATTAGTTCATCGCCACGTAATCACTGCGTGAAATGAATAGAGGGGAGTTAAACATTGATAAAACAGGTGATATCACTGGTGAAAGTGAATTAGAATGGTATAAATGTAGAATTTCATAGCTTTTAAAGAGTTTTGGAGAGAAGGATACAAATTACAAAACGTTGTGACTAATAACTTTGGAACCAAAAGCGAATTGAATAAACAATAAAACGGTAAGGTGGAAAAAATAAGAGAAGAGACTTTCTAGCTTGTGGGAAACAAAGTTTATTCCAAGTTTTAGCACAGTGATAACGATATTAAGACATGTACTGTTAATATCAAATGTTCGTGTCCAACTAAATTTATCGTAACATCTTCTGATACATGTAGAGGTTAGAGGTAAGCTGTTAGTGATACTGACCTCAGAATGTTTTGGCTAATCTTGCTAACTCTCGAAACATATCTTTATCCTTATAAAAATCTCGCGTTACAAGGAAGAACACCTGTGAAATTGATCGTAATCACGTATAAGCCAATCGGTTCGGTTTCATGTCTGTTTCATCTACTGCATGGAAACAATATGTTCTGTAAATCGTTTACTCTTTAAATTTTAGTCTGATTTTCTAGGCAGATCCAGATTACAAGTTTGTTTAAGTAGGTCATTGAAATGAAAGTCTTATTAACCTACTGTCGAAATTATTTCCCAGCAGCATCATAGCACGTTTTGATTTGATAGGACGAGTGTACAGCAATAGCTTATATCAAACATACTGGAATAAAAGATCAGATCACGTGTGTCACTATTCGACTAGAGTCAGGCATTCATGCACTCGGTAGTAACCGAACACATTTTTGTCAACATCACACCGAAAATCGATCGCGAAATTAAAACAGTACATGTAGAAATCAATCAGGAATAACAATTATAAGTATAACATTTGCCCGTTGCACACTACTATATTTTCAACATGCCTGACGGTTTACAACAGTAGTTTTGAATAATATTCGAATCAACAAGCCGTTTAGGCGACCCACTCTGCATTTCCTTTCCAGTCAGTACTTAATCTTCTTGAAACACTCAGTGAGTCATGAACAAAATAAATTACACTTTATCCATTCATGTTCGGCAAAGAGATAAGGCAAGACCTTTGGTAGCTCAGTTCTCGAACACTTGGTGAATTCAAGTCAAGCAGCTCCA